AGAAAAACAAGGCCCTAGACTTTGGTTTTTTTACCAATTTCATTATCTAGTAAAACAGAATCAGCCCAATCTGTCCATTGTTGACCCGAAAAACAGCGACGGACTATCGTCCAGGGTCGCCATTTTCCTTTTCTATTTCTAATTTCGGGAATAAACCGAACGTGACGTCACACTCGTGAAATTCCGATTAAGAACATCGCTTACAACACTAACGAAATATAATTGAATAACGCATTTATACTAAATCTTATATACAATAAATGTTTCCAAATGCATATAAGAAGAACAAACGACACATACCATTGATATATACACGAAGTTAGATGAATAAAAATAGAATATTATTGTTGTTTAGTTGTTGAAGCTGCAATAAAAATGGCATCAGTTACAGACGGTAAAATACCGGCTTTCTTGTTTACTATGTGAAATAACGCTTAATTAAGTACATAATTGCTATCACATCCATAAATATATGCTACCCGAACATATTTTGGTATTCTAATCCTTTTGAATTTTTTATAATGAGCTAAATAGATGTGTGTCATATGTTTTCGCGAATGAATTATTTATTGTAAAAGAAAAGTATCTACATCAATCACACTTTACAAACTCGCTTGCATGATTTCAGTCGGCCATATTCCCTAGCCACGAATGATAACTCATGTTTCCCTGTCTAAAACTCCGCCAAATTATTCCCCTTTTAAATTAACTTAAGAAGGGACCTTTTCTAAAGACTTTGTACTTATTAATTCGATTTTTTGTCAAGAAACTGAGATTTTTTTCAATAACCTTATATGATTTATTTTCTATCTATATATGGTTGCTATGGTAAACATATGAGTTTTGATGGTAAACAAGGAAATTTTCTGGACAGAAGTAATCTAACACAGCGTTCCCCTGCTAACTAACTAGCTGTCACCACATGTAAACAATATATTAAATGGGAAAGAATATTGAGATATTTGTTTGACGATCAGCTGAAAATGCAAAATATTAATATGGTGTAGTTTCTGTGTGTTGTGACATTATGCTCATATTTTCATAGTCAAGTTGAGCTAAATTGACTTTATATTTCAAAAGATTGACTGTTAAAATGGTGTATGACCAACAGTTGATATTGGAAAATGTTCAGAATAAAATTATAAATCTGCATAAAATATAAAAAGACTGCCCCACTCTTTTTCTTAATTGAGCATTATAGGTAAATTCTTAAAGATATTTACAGAAATTTTATTTGGATCTGTGCATCATTTACTGTTTATGGGAAGTAAATTATTAAATTAAAAGGAATAGGCCTTTCTCAAATTATATGCATCAGGGTTCATCCGGAAGGGCGATTCAGGCGAAAACTTCGCCGTGTATATTCCAATTTCGCTCTTCCGATTGATCAAAGAGAAGTCAACATCGCCGATAAAATCTTAATTCCCAAATAGTAAATACTTAGCGATGTAAAGAGCAGAGATTGTATCCGCCCATATGACGACCGCTAATTATCATTATCCAATCAGAGCGTCGCTTTATACTACCCTTCTACCTGTAAGCGAAGCGATAGACCGCCTACTCTAAACAGTAAATAATGAGAGCATCGGCCCGAAACGGTATAATTTGTGTGATAGTTTTGCGAGTTTAATACGGGATTTGGCGATAATTATACATTGTTTTTTCCCCGATTATCTAAACACGTGCAATCTTCCCTAATTGATATACACGATGCACTTCGATGGTGGGTTTTTAACCCGAGTAAAGGCGATGTGCAATGGATTTTTCACGGCTATACAATTAGAAATAATCAATTTCATTAATGATCAGCGACCGGATTAAAAACTTAATCATAGTTTTGAATGATTTCAGTCTGTTAACATCAATTTTTACTGCAAAATTGTTATGTCGCTCACGTCATGGCTACAAGGCGAAATGCCGAAACAGAGCAGTAAGAAAGATACTGATTCTGATAGTTACACGTACGCGAAAATTTAAGAAAGCCAATTCGCAAAAATCTTGCGATTGGTATGTTGTAGACAGTGGGGGTGTTTGGCATTGTTCTCTTTGTAGAAATGCCAAATTTAACACAGTTTATGCACGTGGGCAAGACATCCCGACTAAACTACATATCGGTCGTATATCATGTAACGTATATAACAACAAAATTTGTCAGGAAAGAAGTGTTCTTATTGTTTCAATATATATATTTGTTTTAATGTCGTAAATATGACGCTCAGATTAAGATTTATCAATATTGTAAATTTTAAAAAGCATTATTTATAAAGATATTACCGAATTTAACATTTCATGAAAATAAAGGGAGGTAATTAGAAATTAATTTTCTACAATTTCTCAGTCAATTTTTTCAATAAGAAATGAATGTATGTAATTTTAGTGATCAAATATAATGTGCACAAATGTTTGCAGTACATATTTTACATATTCATTGATGTTTGAAAATTGTTTTATAAGCATAATTATACGCATATAAATGTGACATTACAATACATAGATCAGGAGATTAGGGGCCTCCGTGGCCGAGTGGTTAAGGTCGTTGACTTGAGATCACAGGTCCCTCACCGCTGTAGGTTCGATCCTCACTCGGGTCGAAATCTTTCATGTGAGGAAGCCATCCAGCTGGCTTACGGAAGGTCGGTGGTTCTACCCAGGTGCCCGCTCGTGCCTGAAATAATGCCCGAAGGGGCACTTGGGGTCTTCCTCCACCAATAAAGCTGGAAAAAAATCGACGAAAAATTCTCGGCGGGACGCTCTAGGATGGCCCGACTTGAGTGTACGGTCGCCCATATGGGCTTTCCGGCGGCGACCTTAAATAAACGCATTAAAAAAAAAAAAATAGATCAGGACTTTGAAAGAAATTTCTGTTACCAGAATAGAATAGAATAGAACAGATGTTATTAATCAATATCCAATGTGACTTCATCTTCTAATAACAGTGAGGAAAGTAAAAAATATGAAATTAATTTTATCATCATATCTTTTCTTACACATTATTATCAACAAATGTACATAAAAATATATAAACACATATTTAGACACATATTTAGAGAAAGCTTATAAATAGCTGATCAATAGATATCAAAAATAATTTTTTATATTCATATTTGCAGCTAAAGAACATTTAGATGCCATTGCCAGATCTACTACTAATTAATCTACTTTTAATTAATACTACTATTAATCAATCTACTATTAATTAATAAACTGGAGAAATATTATAAGTGATGTTATTTGTGTTTATATTATAATTAAAGGATGTATAGCCATGCATGTTAATGCATACACATTGGGTTGTTTCCCTTCTCCCTAATTTTCGCGAGGAAGTCACTTCTCCCTAAAATTTCCCCCCAGGATGAGCCCTGATGCATACTTTACATTCCATCACCAGAGAGAGGCTAACAGGGCATGAATGTAAACAAATAATGTCTGACCTGATAAGCCCTAGTGTGTTAAACTTACTGGGGAAATCTCATTTTTATTCCACTCTGTTATTCCAATTCTAGATATAATTATACCATTACTTTTCATAAAATACCTAAGGATGTGAGTTTAACAAGGGAAAGGATTGTGAAAATAAGATGGATGAAAGAACATTTCAAGGTAAAATACCATATTATTATATATTGTTGTCTTCTTTTTAAACCAAGCTACTTAAGTTGTATTACTACTTACATTAATTACTCTCATTTCACATTGTTTTAAATGTTTCATTTATATAAACATAACAATATGTTTGTTCATGAATTTCATTTAAAATATCACACTTATAATGATAACATTTAAAACATAATTGCTTCAGAATCTAAATCAATACCATTTTTAGCTCGACTTTTTTTTTTTTGAAAAAAAAAGTAGAGGTATTGTTATAGTCAGGTCGGCGTTGCCGTTGCCGTTGCCGTTGCCGTCTCCGTTGCCGTTGCCGTTGCCGTTGCCGTCCGAAAACTTGTACCTGGATCATAACTTTTTTATTTCTTGGTGTATTGTCTTCATACTTGGCCACAACAACCCTTGGGACAAGACCTTTCAGTAGACCACACTAACCTTGACCTTCATCCATAAATGACCTTGACCTTCAAGGTTAAAAGTCCAATTTTTGCTTGTTCATGCTGTTATTGGCTGTTACTTTGTTATTTTTGAATGGATTGTCTTCAAACTTGAACATAATAATCTTCAAGGATATCCCTTAAAAATAACCAGTCAGACCTTGACATTCACTCATCAATGACCTTGACTTTGAAGGTCAAATTATTGAAATTTTCATTTTTTTGGCTATTATTGGCTGTAACTTTGTTATTTTTGAATGGATTGTCTTCAAACTTGAACATAATAATCTTCAAAGATAACTGTTAAAAATATACCGAAAGACCTTGACCTTCACTCATTAATGACATTGCCTTTGAAGGTCAAATTATTGAAATTTTCATTGTTTTGGCAGTAACTGACTGTAACTTTGCTATTTTTGAAGGGATAAACTTCATATTATAACAGAACATTCTTAAGGACCAGACCTTGTTGTTTATCAAACCCAAATTTGCTTGGGCTCTTTAATGACCTTGACCTTGAAGGTTATATTACTGAATTTTCTCAGATTGTGCATTTATCGGTGTGTGTGTATGTATAGTATATGTATTATATATAAATATATATATAAATGTGTGTGTGTATATATATACATATATGCAGGTATATATATATATATATATATATATATATATATATATAAAATAAATATATATATATATGCATGTATATATATATATATATATATATAGATAGATATATATATATATCAAATATATATATATATATATCAAATATATATATATATATATATATATATATATATATATATATATATATATACATATATATACATGTATATAATTGCGTCATGTTTTTCTATTTTTAGAAATTGCGTCATTTTTTCTATTTTTAGAAATTGCGTCATTGTTGCTTTTTTTAGAATTTGCGTCATTTTTTTTCTATTTTTAGAAATTGCGTCATTGTTGCTATTTTTAGAAATTGCGTCATTTTTTTCTATTTTTAGAAATTTCGTCATTTTTGTTCTATTTTTAGAAATTGCGTCATTGTTTCTATTTTTAGAAATTGCGTCATTGTTTCTATTTTTAGAAATTGCGTCATGTTTTTCTATTTTTAGAAATTGCGTCATTTTTTTTCTATTTTTAGAAATTGCGTCATGTTTTTCTATTTTTAGAAATTGCGTCATTTTTGTTCTATTTTTAGAAATTGCGTCATTTTTTCTATTTTTAGAAATTGCGTCATGTTTTTCTATTTTTAGAAATTGCGTCATTGTTGCTATTTTTAGAATTTGCGTCATTTTTTCCTATTTTTAGAAATTGCGTCATTTTTTCTATTTTTAGAAATTGTGTCATTGTTGCTATTTTTAGAAATTGCGTCATTTTTGTTCTATTTTTAGAAATTGCGTCATTTTTTCTATTTTTAGAAATTGCGTCATTGTTGCTATTTTTAGTAAATGCGTCATTTTTTTCTATTTTTAGAAATTGCGTCATTTTTTTCTATTTTTAGAAATTGCGTCATTGTTGCTATTTTTAGTAATTGCGTCATTTTTTTCTATTTTTAGAAATTGCGTCATTGTTTCTATTTTTAGAAATTGCGTCATTGTTGCTATTTTTAGAAATTGCGTACTGTTGCTATTTTTAGAAATATGCTTAATGTTTCTATTCATATATATACAAAATATATAAACAAAACTAATGTGACAAGACAGACCAACTAAATTTATAAAAAGGAAACATCAATATATGTTCAAACCTTTCTATGTTTGCGTTTAGAAAAAGTAAAAAGTCGAGCGTTGCCCCCGCCCGGCGGTGGCTCTTGTTATACTAAAAAGCAATAACGGTTATTTTATGTACTATTTCAGATCAATATTTTGCAATAGTTGCTCGTTTTGAAGCATTTCACACAATAAGATTAACAATCATGGACATAAATTCATATATGTCTGAAGAGAACAGATGTACCCTGTAGGTGGTTCGACTGGAGTAATAATCAACAGACCAGTAAGATGAACACTAAAGAAGAAGATTTCATCACCAGATGAAAGGTATACACAAGACTTAATTTTTCATTTTTTACACATAAACAAAGTTCAGCACCTGTAAAAAAATATATGTGCAATCAAAATATAAATTGATATATTCTAGAAATGGCATAATTCTTGTTTCCACTTCTAAATAAAAGGTATATATTTTTCAGGAATTCCACTGGTAACAGTCATGAACACAAATTGACAATTGGTATTTGAATCGCCTTTAATTGTCTCTTCATGGCAGTGGCAAGAAACTATCAAACAGTTCAAAGAAAAATTACAGAAAACTAAGGAAGAAAACAAACAGTGATATTGAACGTTGGATACATACAAATTTTCAAATGCTGACAGTTGTATATTTTGTAATGTTATACAGGATTTCCAACAAAATTTACTATATATTCATTACAGTTTTCAATAGGAAAAACATTAAGAGCGTTTATTATGATGCAAGCAAAACAATCAGCTTGACTGGCGAAATGTTTTTAGCATATTTTAAAGGACCATTATTTTGTTCAGTTTTGCGCCTTGAATTTAAATAAAAACTTTAAAAGAAATCATCGCATTACTTTGTTTTTAACATTATACTTTGTTACATATATGGTGCAGGGAATATGTCAACATGTTTATTACATTTAATATTTTGTCCTCTTATTGAGAGAATATGTCTTGGAATGTTATTAAAGAAGTGCTAAAACTCATTGCTGCCTTTCCTAATACCCTTCAACTGCAAGATATTGCGCAGGTTTTCTGCGAATGTTCAGTCCCCTATGTACATGGAATATTTGGGGTTGGTGGGTTCAGGCAACATCCTCTGGAATTGCCGTGTTCCCTAATGATTTGTTATATACCAGCCAGTTAAGGGTTCCAACAATATGACCACATAATAAAAGTCGAACTAACTGGAAAAGTGCAATAATCTAATGATACTTGAGCTTTGTCTTAAGATTTGACTGATATTTGCAATCAAATGATTGTATTTCGTTATATACTAAGTATTTTATACTGTAATTAATTAAATAGTTGATAATATATAAGTTTTACGTTCCTTACTTAGCATGAAATGTATTTTTACATTGCTGTAAACAACATCATGTGTTATGATACTGAAAATCCATTGAAATGTATAAGACAGGGGTGTCATGTTTAAACAAAATATCATTTTGATTTGATAAGGCTGTCTGTAAAATTAACCAGTTTCTAGAGAGTCATACAGATTTCTTTTGATTTTAAATACAAAGTGAATAAAACTTTTTTAAACTTTTTTTTTCAATAGCTAAATTTAGGGGAAGTATGGTACAGAATTCAGCATCCAACTGTTTACATCTATTATCAGTTAATTGCTTAATACACTCTTGACCAACATGTGTTGAGGTTAGCAATAAAATACTGATAACGCAGATAATGTCTATTTAAGTTGCAAAGGGTTTTAACCTGATATTTATACTGACAAAGAATATTAGAAATTACTTGGAATTATCATAAACTTTAATTGACTTATCAGGTCTTGTATGTCCTTCACTGTATAAAGTGTAAATTAAACCCATTGTTGATTTATTTATCTCCAGAAGATATTTTTTAATATTAAATATAGTACTCAACAAGTATGTAGCAAACAGAACATTATCAAGATCTCTGACACTGTAGAAAAATCTTTCGGCGGCCATATATTCGTTATATGTTTACATAGAGCAGATACCGCAGCTTGCCCTGTTAGCCTCCTTCTGAGAAATCTATGAATATGTATGAGGTAATATTAAGAAGGGTCTATTATTGCATAATGAAAACTTATTTTGATATTTACATGTTCACTCACCATATACCCTTGGATGGGCATAATGTCACTTTAATTTGTTTGACTGATATATTAGTTGTAAAATCCATGTACACTAAGTGTAGTAGCAGTCGGACACATGATGCTTCGGTAGCACTCCACAGTTAATTTCAAGTTCTTGCCGTCAATGTCCTGCAAGCAATACGTCTATTAATTCTGATACCAAACTACACAACCTGGAAAAAGAAAACACATTTTGTTGAGAACATATATGACATAAGATTGCAAATCTACAAAGAAATTATCCCATCTACAATAGGCAGGCAGTCAAAAAAGTTGCAATTCATTCCGTTGAAGCCCAAAATCTACAGTGGCCCGAGACCCAAAACAACACATTTCGTCCCTCTGGCAAAAAATACCTGCAAATATACAGGCTAAAGGAACACCATCTCTGCTTTAGCAACTCCCTAGGCCATCCTTAAAAAAATGTTTGTTTGCAGTAACCCAACCCAGAATTTTCAAGGTTGGTAGGTAGGCCGATTTTTTTTTTTTTTTATTGAACTGTACTCCCAAATAAACATGGAATTTAAAAATGCTGGACAATATATGCTTTGATAATCTGGTAAAAATTAATAAATTGATAACTGAATTCTAATTTAATAAGACTTACATTTTATTTCTTCTATTAACCTTTAAAAGAATGAAAACAAAGCACAAGGCATAATTTTCTGATTCCAAAAATTTTTTTTTTATCCAGACCATGAAAAAAAATTTTGAGTAGGGGCAAATTTTGTGAGTCGGTCGCGTTACTGCAAACAAACTTTTTTTTAAGGATGGCCCTATACATGCAAAATATCACAAAGAAACTGGTGCTCAACCTTGTAGATTTTTTTGCTACTGCTTAAAGTTTGTACCCTCCTGTAAAATGACTGGTTTTTACCGTGAATGCTGTTTAAAAGCAATGTTTACAAAAAATGGCAGCCTTGACATCTATAATCAACAGCATGTGATTTATGATCATATTAGATGTCACAAAAACAAATTTCATGCTGAAAATTCACTTTAAAGCCAACCAGTTACATAAATCCAGAATATTCACTATATCCAAGATATCCTCCCTGGCCATTCGAAGCTGTGGCTTACATTACTGTGGTGTGCTACCTTTTCGTAGCAACCACGTTGAAAACGTGAACGGTAACTGAACAAGACATGACAAAGCGCATGCTCAAGCGCTGACTTCCGCTCTATCGAAATACTGCATATACATATAGCGAAAGTTCGTAAGTGAATCATATTGTAATGAAAGCAAGTAAGGCCAATGTAGCCCAAAAGTCAGATAAACAAAATGGAACAGGCCTTTTTTGACATACTTACAACACCGCCAACACTGTTAAAACTGGGAAAAGTCCAAATTTGAGAATTTTTTAGTAACTAATTTGAGTAACTCAAATTCCTGAACACAATGAATAAAAAAAATAGCTCCTATTGATAGTGTTTATATTTACATTTTCATGAACACAGAAAGTACAAGCAAGACCTCAATCCCTACAAGGGCTGTAGCACTCTTAAATAACGTGTATGCCATGTATATAATTTTAATAAAAATCACATTAAAATCTTTTAAAAGTATATGAACAAAAAACCTTAGTTAGCAGTATGCAGTCATTGAATTTAAGATTTTGAATTTACTGGCCCGAATTCCAATTTTGAATTTATTCTACTAAATATTTAACTAAATTTTCTTAAAATTTGACTGGCCGGAACTAATTTTCACTGGCCATAGGCCACCGGGCAAGTGCTAAATTCGATGACTGAGTATGCTGCCATCTTGGGCAAAGGGCCAACTTGGCCCTACACCAACTCAGCAAGGGTCAACTCTGTCATCTATAAAAAACCTTCTAGGATATAGATTTTATGAAATTATCTTTGTTCAATAAGAAGAGATAACGTTGTCTTAATATAATGATCTATAACTCAATTTTTACCACTTTGCGAAAAACACATTCAAACATTCAAGATTGATTATTTCAGTTGTCCTTGGGTGATTTTAGAAATAAAAAACAGGAAATGCAGGATGATATGTAGAATATGTATATTGAATCATAAAATGTTTGATCAATCGATTATTGAATTATTTACAATTTTAAATTCCGGTATAAACTATTTGATTTTTACACTTGATTTAATACAGGACAGAAGATATTGTTAATCAAATTAGATTAAACAATGAAAAATATGATAAAAATAAATAAAAAGTAGTAACAAGTAATATATAACTATGGACCAAGTTGACTCTTGCCGAGTTGGTACAGGGCCGAGATGACTGGGGGGGGCCAAGTTGATCCTGCTTCATGGACTGGTTCTATATCTGAGGTATATTTATATTTCAGGTTGCTTTTAAAGAGCATTTGTAATCAAGACAGTGACTCACATTCTCATTGTAACATGTATGATGTAGATTAAAAGTTTTAAAGTGTAAGCTATCATTCCGTCATTCCGTCCTTACGTCATCATCAGTTTCCGTTCATTATCTTAATAACCATTGCACATATTGAACTCAAATTTGACATATGGATATGTCATAAGAAAATACAGGTCAAGTTTGAAATTGGTCATGGTTCGATGATTTTTGGCAGAGTTATGCCCCTTTTACTTTGAAAATAATATGAAATTTTCAGTTTCTGTTCATTATCTCCCCAACGGTACAACACATTCAACTCAAACTTGACATATGGATATGTCATGAGAAGATACAAGTCAAGTTCGAATTTGGTCATGGTTCGATGATTTTTGGCAGAGTAATGCCCCTTTTACTTTGAAAATAATAAAAAAATTTCAGTTTCCGTTCATTTACTCCCCAATGGTACAACACATTCAACTCAAACTTGACATATGGATACGTCAAAGGAATGCGCAGGTCAAGTTCAAATTTGGTCATGGTTCGATGATTTTTGGCAGAGTAATGCCCCTTTCACTTTGAAAATAATATGAAATTTTCAGTTTCCGTTCATTATGTCCCCAATGGAACATCACATTCAACTCAAACTTGACATATGGATATGTCATGAGAAAATACAGGTCAAGGTTGAATTTGGTCATGGTTCGATGATTTTTGGCAGAGTTATGCCCCTTTTACTTTGAAAATAATATTAAATTTTCAGTTTCTGTTTATTATCTCCCCAACAGTATTACACATTCAACTCAAATTTGACATATGGATATGTCAAAGGAATGTCCAGGTCAATTTCAAATTTGGTCATGGTTCGATGATTTTTGGCAGAGTTATGCCCCTTTCACTTTAAAAATAATATGAAATTTTCAGTTTCCATTTATTATCTCCCCAACAGTATTACACATTCAACTCAACTTTGACATATGGATATGTTTTTGGAATGCGCAGGCCAAGTTCGAATTCGGTCATGGTTCAATGATTTTTGGCAGAGTAATGCCCCTTTCACTTTAAAAATGATATGAAATTGACAGTTTCTGTTCATTATCAACCCAACAGTGTTACATATTCAACTCAAAATTGACATATGGATATGTCAAAGGAATGCACAGGTCAAGTTGGAATTTGGTCATGGTTCGATGATTTTTTTGGCAGAGTTATGTCCCTTTCACTTTGAAAATAATATAGATACATCTTAGGAATAAGCAGTTTAAGTTTGAATTTGGTCGTGGTTCAATGATTTTGGACAAACTTATCTTTCCTGAATGTTGGAAAAATTTTGAACTTTCAGTTTCAGCACTCATACTTTTGTGGAAATGAATATAGCCATTATTTTGGCTACAAATATGCAATATGCTATTTTCAAAAGGTTAAGACTGAATAATTTCAGTGCCTTGAACATTGTATAAAAATGGTTTGTGTTAACATTGAAAAGTTTTAAGGGCTTTGAACTTAGAATGAAAAAAATAATTTGTGCAAACAAATTTGGAACTAAATATTATAAAATTTGAAATATTGGCTGCATGCGGGGGCATCCGTGGCATGATGACACATTTCTAGTTTTTCTATAAATTGTTAATTTTTCTTCAACTGTTTGGCAAGGGTTATTTTGCAAACAAACATTTATATACAGTCAAATAACCTGTCAAAAAGATTTATAACAAATTTATAATACAGCAAACTTCCTTTCTACAGAAAAAAGTGAGATTTCTTTATAAATATCTGTGTCCATAACAGTTTATAAAGATAAGTATTGTACATATCTGTGGTGGTGGGGATATTTTTCAGAGTCATGTGTGTTCTTTTACCACAAAATCAACATCATGTTGATTTCAAACTGAGACAAGTTATTCCAGCTTTCTCCTTTTTAATTTAGAAAAGAAATTTAGGTTTAAGATTTGAATGTTTACAGAATTTCTGAAAATAATCTTCTATATACTTTGATATTTCATAGGTGGTTTTGTGATCTGATTGGTGGTTACTGGTAAAATTATCTTGTGGCTCTTTTTGATTTACATTTACACCCTCTTTTAAATTTTTTTGCAGATGAATTAGAAGATAATACTAGTAATATTATGCAACATGTCTTATTGATAACAATATGATTTAATTATATTTTCAGATGAGGTTATAAAGAAACGTCTTCTTATAGATGGTGATGCGGGCAATGATGAAAAGAGATTGACAAGTCTGTTGAAAACATTCATTCGCTGGTGTAATAGTACTGATGAACCTTCTAGTGATGAAAGGTAACACTTTAATATCTACTGTGTTCAAAATCAGTATCAATTTAGGTACAAAATTTTATACTCTGGGAATACACTTAAGAAGGGGAAATATGTTTTGATTGGTTTGTCAAATATGTCATCTCTCACTGTTTTTTTTCTCTACTTTGGGAATGGTGCTGGTACCAAAATGCGTTATTTTGACTCTAAATTGGGAATTTTTTTTTATGCATTTTTTCAGCTACAAATAAGATGAGTCATCATAAATAAAGACAGCTAACAGCTTCCACTGTCCATGTAGAACTATTGAGTGGTGATTTATATGAATATGTTGGATTTAAATGATTTCAGAGAAATCACTTGGCCTTGTGGAAATTTTGAACAGCCATTTTGGGAATTTAAACATTGGAAATTTGAAATTTTAATGTCTATTTTCTATTGGGAACAGTACCGATTTAGGGTAAAAGTTATATAAAGAAAATAAACACTGTCTCTTCCTTGCCTAACCAATAACTTGATAAGGTATAAGTCATGATTTATGAAGCTTGGTAGGAACATTGCTCATGGCACCTATTGATTTTAAGATCAGTAGATCAAAGATTAAGTTTCCAGTCAAAGACATTTCGTAAATCTTGTACTAGTCACATGTATTGTTTAAAAAGATATATTTTGTGGACTGTTCCTTATACAGTTACTTGAAAATAACATCTGGAAAAGAGTTGAATTTTGTTTTTATTCCAAATTGCACTTCCACAAATATGTTGCAAGTTCTGCTTGGGTCAGTGTTCTTGCCGAAAGGCACCTGAGGTCTTTGTCTATTGTATCATGCAAGTCTAGGGGAAGTATGATATTGTTTGACTCAATTAGTTCAAAAAATTTAGTAATTAACACACATAAATATTAATTAATATTCTGTTTATTACATAATCAAAATAAGGAAAATAGAATCCTTTGTTCATTGAAGTACCTGTAGTGTATCATTAACATAAGCTCCATTTTATGCTTTTACTTTTGTATAACAAAAATTTTATTGAAAGGCTTTATTTATTATACTGCATTGTAGTTTATGTGATAAATGTGATACAGGTATAAGTGATCTGATTTTTTTATTTCAGTCATTTGACAGTTCAGCGTATGTTGGCCACATTGGCACAGAGCGATCATGCTATACAGAAATCTTCTCAAGTTTATAGAATGAACCTTCTGGAGCAAGAAAATTATGAAACTCTAAATAAACAAATAGGTATCACTGATGTATTATTAATTTATTATTATACTTAGTAGTAGTTAACAGATATGTTTCTATGTGATATACATTGTAGTTATTAAGAGGTATAAAACTATCTTGGGCTGTTTGTAATTGGTAGAATATTTGTTTATATATTGATAAAAACTATACCAAAATACCTAAATTGAAAGAGTGTTTCAAAATGTCTAATTAAGTGGTTTAGTGCATGCAAAATTATCGCTTACGTTTTTCAAATTTGTGAATTGAGATAGTTTTTGTAAGGAGAAGTTTCATTCTGTTTTCATAATTACAACTCACATGTGTTTAATATCATTCAAAAAAAAAAATTTCAAGGTATGACCATAAGAATATGCAGAAAAATAAACAACACAATTTGACCGTTTTTCAAAAAATTGTAATATATTTTGCTGGTTATAGCTTTACACTCAGTGGAAGAGTGATTAAAGCTACATGCCTCCAGATAATCAAAAATATTTCAATAATATCAATTTTAAAAAATATTACTGTAGAAATGTTAAAGGTTCAAGTAATAATTGACATGTTATATGTGATTAATGACTGATTTTTTTTAATATTATGACTATATTTCTACTGCTTTACTAACGTAGTAAGGGCTTTTTTGCACATTTTTACCTCATTTTAGTAATTTACGTGAGTTGTAAGTGCAAATAATTTGGTGTAAATTGCTTCCTTTTGGTCACTACACATTATTATACGTTTTCACATATTTCAAAAATTTTCATGAAAAAATAGCATAAATCTGGAGGCGTGCTGCTTTAAGGTGTTTGACTTCAAACAATTTGCCCCTCATCGTGGGTTCCATTCTTCTTTCTGTCATGTGAGAAAGCTAAGCAGCTGAGCTATTACAAAAGGTCAGTGGTTCTACTCCAGTGCTGACTTGTGCATGGAGGGCAGGTCTTCCTCCACCATTCAAGTTGGAAAGTAGCCATATGTCCTTAATATTAATTGTGTCTGATAAATCTTCAACTTACTATGTAAAATAATTTTAGAATCCAGAATTGAAGAAGCTGAACTGAAAATAAAGGAGTCAAAAGAAGAATTAAAAATGGCTAAACAGATCAGGAAACACAGACAAGGTACGTTGACTCCAAAATCTTTACCATTCATGGGATACTAATTATTGTGACTTTTGTGACTTAAATTAAAACTTTCACTTATAAACAGAAACAGTTTAAATGTTTTGAGTAATTACAGTTTGGCAGATGTAGCGAGCACAAGGCATAAAATACCTACAGTAGTCTGTCTCACACTTTCTACTTAGGCTTATACTGTATAAGAATGATTTCATAGAAATGTTAATCAGTACTTACTTTGACCTTCAGAGTAGGATGCCCTTGCCAAGGTCATTTATAGAAATGTTAATCAGTACTTACATTAAACTTCAGAGTATGATGCTCTTGCCAAAGTTATACAGCAACAACCTGATAGACAGGATACCACCAGGTACGAGATAGAGAATTTTCTTTCTAACCGCCCACCGCTTAGCACTCCCATACAACCTATTATGTATATGATATGAAATGGTACTTTTG